CCCCAAAATTGGAAAGCTAGACCAGTACAGAGAATGCTGATGTATGAGAGCAAAACCTTGCATGGATGGGAACCAGTGCTGGGGTAGGAAAACCTGAATGTTACTGATGAGTTGCTAGAGGTTAGGTATGGACAAGTCTGAAAGTTAAAAACTCCAGTCATAGGAGGGATCCCCACACTCTTGTGAGTTTTAACTTTAGAAGCTTGACCTAGTTCTTGCAGTCAATATTGGGAGAAAATCCTCTTCTGTTTCCAGGAGGAAGGGGAAAGAGAACACTTTGCAATATGCCAGAGAACTCTGTTCTCAACAGGGTCTGCCCTCAGGAGAAACTATTTAACTAGAACCCACCCTGCCAGGGCTTTATGAAAGCCTAACTGACCTGGGAAAAATGAAATACCCAACTCCAGCCCACCTAGCCATCATGGCCCACCTAAAAAGGGAAAAAACTGAGAAACGTTTGAAGTTCACATGCCAGAGGCACATTCTCACTGAAAGACTGAGACCTAATCATAGGACCACAAGATAACTTCCCTATGCTAAAGGCTCATTTACAGCAGTTTCTTTTACCCAGTATATTATGTCCGGTTACCAGGAAAAACCCACCAGATAGAGTAAAAGCCAGAAACACAGTTTGGAGAGACAGTGCAAGCATCAGAACCAGAGTCAATTGTGCCACACATGTTGGAATTATCAGAGATCCTAAAACAATCATGATTAGTATACTAAAGGGCTGCAATAGATAAAGTAGACAACATGCAAGAACAGGTGGGAACTGTGAGCAGAAAGATGAAAATCCTAAGAAGGAATCCCCAAAAAAAGAAATACTAAAAATCAAAACCACTGTAACAGAAATGACAAATGCCAGCCAGTTGCAGTGGCTCACACTGTAATCCCAGCACTTTGGGAGGCCAAGGTGGGTGGATCACCTGAGATCAGGAGGTTGAGACCAGCCTGGCCAACATGATGAAACCCCATCTCTACTAAAAATATAGAAAAAAGCTAGGAGTGGTGGCGGGCCCCTGTAATCCCAGCTACTGAGGAGGCTGAGGCAAGGAGAATTGCTTGAACCCGGGAGGCCACGGTTACAGTGAGCCAAGATCACACCGCTGCACTCCAGCCTGGGCAACAGAGAAAGACTATTTCAAAAAAAAAAAAAAAAAAAAATGACAGATGCCTTCGATACCTGATTAGTACAGTGAACGTGGCTGAGGAAATAATCTCTAACCTTAAGGATATGTCAGGCCAGGCGCAGTGGCTTACTTCTGTAATCCCAGCACTTTGGGAGACCTAGGCGAGAGGATCACTTGAGTCCAGGGTTCCAGACCAACCTGGGCAACGTAAGAGACCCCGTCTCTACACACACACACACACACACACACACACACACACTCACTCACACACCTTAGCCAGGCACAGTGGTGCACACATGTGGTCCCAGTTACTCAGGGAGCTGAAGTGGGAGGATCACTTGAACCCAGAAGATCGAGGCTGCAGTAAGCCACGATCATGCCACTGCACTCCAGCCTGGGCAACAGAGCAAGACCATGTCTCCACCAGAAAAAAACGGGGGCGGGCGGGGGCGGGCAGGGCGTGTAGTCTAACAGAAACCTCTAAAAAACATATTCAAGGACTACAGGATGACTACAAAAGCTATAACTTGTATTTAATGAGAATATTAGAAGGAGAAGGAAGAAAGGAGCAGAAGAAATGTTTGAAACAATGACAGAATTTTCCCCAAACTAATGTCAGACACCAAACCACAGACCCAGAGAACTCAAGAACACCAAGAAAGATAAATACAAAAAGAAAAAGAAATCACTATACTTAGGCATATCATTTTCAAACTAGATAAAGATGAAAGATAGATAAAATCAAGATAAAGACAAAATCCTAGCCTGAGAAATATGGCAAAACCCCATCTCTACAAAAAAAATTATAAAAATTAGCTGAGAGTGATGGCATGCACCCATATTCCCAAGTACTCAGGAGGCTGAGGTAGGAGGATCGCTTCAGCCCAGGAGATTGAGGCTACAGAGAGCCATGGTCGCACCATTCCAGCCTGGGAGACAGAGCAAGAACCTATCTCAAAAAAAAGAAAAAAGTCCTGAAAGAAGCCAGAGAAAAGTTACACTTTACCTATAGAGAAACAAAGATGAGGATAACATCTGACTTCTCAGAAACAGTGCAAGCCAAGAAGAGTGGAGTGAAACATTTAAAGTTATAAAAGAACAAAACCACCATCCTAAAATTCTATACCCTGCAAAATTATTCTTTTCAGAAGTGAAAGAAAAACAGACTTTCCCAGGCAAAAATTAAAGGAATTTAATCCATAACTTTTCAAAACAGAAAGTACTAGGCCCACATAGGTTCACTGTTGAATTTCTTTCCTTCCTTCCTTTCTTTTCCTTTCCTTTCTTTTCTCTCTCTCTTTTTTTTTTTCTTTCTTTCTCCTTTCAGCAGAGTCTGGCTCTGTCACCCAGACTGGAGTAGTAGCACATCTGAGTTTACTGCAGCCTCCACCTCTGGGTCTCAAGCAGTCCTCCCACCTGAGCCGCTCTAGTAGCTGGGACACAGGCACAGCCACCATGCCCAGCGAATTTGAGTATTTTTTGTAAAGATGGAGTTTCATCATGTTGCACAGGCTGGTCTTGAACTCCCGAGCTCAAATGATCTGCCTGCCTCGGCCTCCAGGTATAAGCCACAGCACTCAGCTAAAATTATACCTATTCTCTACAATCTCTTTCATTAGATAGAAGCAGAGGGAATATTTCCCAGCTCATTTTGCAAGGCCAGAATTGCCCTAATTCCAAAATCAGACAAAGATATTACAGGAAAACAAAACTACAGACCAGTATCTCATGAATGTAGATGCAAAAATCTATGAGGATTTCTAGGGCAGTGAAAATATTATGTATAATACTATAATGAGCCAAGTATGATTATAGTGATCTTGGCTCACTCATATAATGGTGGATACCAGTCTATAGACATTTGTCCAAACCCATAAAATGCGTAGTACCAAGAGTAAACCCAAATGCAAACTATGGACCTTGGGTGATAATGACATGTCAGTGTAGGTTCATCAGCTCTAACAAATATACCATTGTGCTAAGGGATATTAATAATGGAGGAGGCTGTTCATGTGCGGGGCCAGAAGGTATATGGGATATCTCTGTACCTTCCTCTCAATTGTTTTTTAAGACAATCTTGCTCTGTATAGTAGCATGATCACAGCACCCTGCAGCTTTGACCTCCTGGGCTCAAGTGATCTTTTTTTTTTTTTTTTGACATGGTTGGTGTCTTGCTCTGTCACCCAGGCTGGAGTGCAGTGACACAGCCTTGGCTCACTGCAACCTCCACTTCTCCAGCTCAGTTCTCCTGTCTCAGCCTCCCAAGTAGCTGCAATTACAGGTGTGTGCCACAACGTCTGGCATTGGTTTCATCATGTTGGCCAGGCTGGTCTCGAACTCCTGACCTCAAGTGATCACCCACCTCAGCCTCCCAAAGTGCTGGTATTATAGGCATGAGCCACCATGCCCAGCCTCAAGTGATCTTCTCGCCTCCACCTCCTGTATTAGCTGAGACTACAGGTGCATGCCACCATCCCTGGCTAATTTGTTTTTTCTTTTAGATGGGGTCTCACTATGTTGCTTAGGCTGGTCTCGAGCTCCTGGGCTCAAGCAATCCTCCTACCTCAGCCTCCCAAAGTGCTGGGATTACAGGCATGAGCCACTGTGCCCAGCCAAAATAGGATGGTTTGACTGGAATCAGTGAAGTTCTGAATGTTTTATTCTGTAGTTCACACTCGCACCCACTTTTTTCTTTCTATTCTGTACAGCTTGTCTCCTTTTAGGCTGAAATGATTGAGCAATAAACCCAAGAAGTACTCTGGTGAATACTTAGAAATTCATAAGGTCCAAAACACAGTAATTTGGATATAGTAATTATTTAATATCTATGGAGTGAATGAATATCTATTACCTAACTAGATGAGACAACTAAAAATAAGCCATGTCCTTGATTTTTTATAATTCTCTTTGAAAATAAAATCAATTTGTAAAATAATCACACCGCCAGAAATTCTTAAATACATAGGCTTTGAGCCAGAAAACAAAGATGTATGTTTTTTCTTTTCTTTCTTTCTTTTTTTTTTTTTTTTTGGAGACAGAGTCTCATTCTGTTGCCCAGGCTGGAGTGCAGTGGCACGATCTCAGCTCACTGCAACCTTTGCCTCCTGGGTTCAAGCAATTTTCCTGTCTCAGCCTCCCGAGTAGCTAGGACTACAGGCATGTGCCACCACGCCCCACTAATTTTTGTATTTTTAGTAGAGACAGGGTTTCACCATACTGGCCAGGCTGTTCTCAAACTCCTGACTTTGTGATCTGCTCACCTCGGCCTCCAAAGTGCTGGGATTGCAGGCGTGAGCCACCACGCCCGGCCTAGATGTATGCTTTTTCTACCACATATCTACCAGGTGGGAGATTGTTCATGACAAGAGAAAAAGTCTTTGCCCTTAAGTATCCTTTCTGAATTAAGAAAAGCAATTTTTTAGTATAGTTTACATTTTTTGTTTTTTTTTTTTTTTTTT